GTGTGCTGCAGCAGTTCCTGCGCAGCGAGCAGCACCGCGCTGCTGCTGCTGCTGCTGCAGCAGCAACCGCTCCTGTGCAGCTCCAGCTGCAAGGCCTCGAGTCCGCAGAAACTGCTTTGGGTGTCTGGACAGCTCTAGGCGTCCCCGCAACTTCCCCTGTCGCAGCAGCTGCGCTGCAGTGGCTTCTATCCTTTGTTCCCAGCAGCAGCAGCAGCAGCAGCAGCAGCAGTGGCGTGTTGATGGAGGCGGCCCATTCGGCGTTTGCTGCGCTGCACATGCGCCGCCACAGCTTGCTGCTGTGGCTGGACGTTCCCTGCGGCCTTGCTGCAGCAGAAGCAGCAGTGTTTGGAGCAGCAGCAGCAGCACAAGTAGACGTGGCTGGAGAAATGTCTCTAGAAAGCCTAGATGACTGTGTATCTGCTTCTCGCTGCTGCCGCTTGCTGCAGCAGCTGCTGCCTGTTGCTGCAGCAGACACCAAGCTGGTGGCCCTGGGCGCCCCCAGCTGGCTCTCGGGGCCCCCTCCTAATATTAGTGGCTGCGCAGCCCCAGTGCTGCTGCAGCAGCTGCAGCAGCGCGCAGCAGCAGTCAAGGAAGAAGTGCTGCAGCAGCTGCGCGGGGGCCACGCCGCGCTAGCAGCAGCAGCAGCAGCAGCAGCAGGTGACTCCAATCACGTGGCAGTCCCTGTGAAGTTTGACCGCGCCTGGGAGGAGGCCCATTGCTGGGTTGTGGCTGTGCAGCAGCTGCAGCTGCAGCTGCAGCAGCAGCAGCAGCAGGACCCCTGGCTCGTCAGAGAAGGAGTGCTAAATGCAGAGGAGTGGCAAGAGGCCCAAAAGGCAGCTCTCAGTCTTCCCCCCTTCGTCCTGTTTGCTGCTCTCCTCGCAGCCTCCAGGCAGCAGCACCAGCAGCAGCACCAGCAGCAGCAGCAGCAGCAGCAAAAGCAGCAGCAGACAGCCTCTCCCGGGCTTCTCGAGCTGACCACAGCAGAAACTGCCCAAGGGCTGGAGACAGTCCTCGGCCTTCCACGCCACGTAGGCACTCCACCTGCAGCAGCAGCAGCAGCAGCAGCAGCTGCTGCTGCTGCTGCTGTGTCTGCGCTTTGAGGGTAGATGAGCAGCCCGTGAGTTTCTTGCTGCTGCCTGCATGCAGCGGCTGCTGTCTGCATGCGGCTGCTGCTGCTTGCATGCGGTTGTGCTGCGCTGCAGCTAAGTGTGGCAGCCGCTTTGCTGCTGGACATTCGCGGCGAGGGACTCATCAGCTACACAGACTTTAGGAGGCTTCCTTCTTACCTGCATGCAGCAGCGAGCACTGCTGCTGCTGCTGCTGCTGGGTGTGCTGCAGCCGCTGATGCTGCCGTTGGGGGCCGTGGATCTGCCTGTGCAGCCCCTTGGTGGCTGGAGGCGCTGCTGCAGGGGCCTCGGCAGGCAGCAGCAGCAGCAGCAGCAGCAGCAGCGCTCAGAAGCGACGTGCTGCTGCTGCTGGCAGCAACTCGCAGACAGGGGCCCCTCCAGAGGGCCCTGCTGGGGCTGGCAGCCCCGGAGCAGATTCCTCTTGCTGCTGCTGAGACACACAAGGTGGGCTGTGCTGCTGCTGCAGATGCCGAGCTACTCCTGCTGCTGCTGCTGCTGCTGCTTACTTCCTCCGTGTGAATTTTGCTGCAACGGCTCAGGTGCTGCTGCGCCTGGGGATGAGACCCGAGGCTGCTCGCGGGCTCCAGCTGCTGCTTCAGGCTGCTGGAATGAGCAGCAAATGCCGAAACAGCAGCAGCAGCAGCAGCAGCTTCCCGTCTCTCTCCATGGTTCAGCAGTGGCTGCATGCAGCGCAGCAGCTGGCCCCGCTGGTGCTGCAGGATGTCTTTTGCTGCCTCTTTGCTTCTCAGCCTTTCTCTTCGGCAACTACAGCAGGCTCAGTTTCGTGCGTTGCTTTGAGCTTGCTGCTGCTGTCGCTGCTGCTGCTGCTGCTTCCCGCTCTGTGGAGTGCTGCTGCTGCTGCTGCTTCTGCCACCCTTGCAGTTGCTCGGCCTGTTGCTGCTGCCTGTTTCACTAAAGGTTCTGTTTCTGGTGGCCGCAATCCTCCAAGGCATACGCAAGGCGTGACCCCGCTGACTGAAGCTTTGCTGCTGTTGCTGCTGCTGCTGCTGCTGCTGTTTGCAGAGACGGCAGCTGGGGCGCCTGGGAAGGTTCTCGCGTTGCTGCACTTATCGAAGCAGCAGGACTTAGCTCATTGGCGGCATCTGCTTCTTCAAGTCCGTCGCACTGCAGCAGCAGCAGCAGCAGCAATGACAGCGACGACCAGGTGGCGCTGCTGGACCCCTGTAGGATCCGCAGCAGCTACAGGGCCTTTCAGCAGCAGCAGCATGAGCTGCTGCTGCTCTTGCTGCGCTCCCTCCGCACAGCTAACCTCTCCATTGAGGCTTTTTGCTGCAAGCGCCTGCTGCGGACGCAGCAGCAGCAGCAGCAGCGTGCTGCTGCTGCTGCACAGACACCTGAGGCAGCCGCTGCTTCGCTGCTTTGCCGCATCAAATACCACACGATACCCTCTGCAGCAGCAGCAGCACTACCTGCAGCAGCTGATGTTTCCCGGTGGGTATTTGTAGAAGAATGCTCGTTGCTGCTGCTGCCTGCTCTGGGCAGCAACAGCAACGGCGCTGCTGTCGCTGCTGTGGCCTCAGCTTTGCATTTGCTGTTTGATGCAGCAGACCCCAAAGCCAGGGGATCTGTCTCTGCTGCAGCACTGCAGCAGCTGCTGCAAGACGCTGAGCTGCTGCAGTTGCAGCGGGACAGCCGAGCGCTCGTGGCGCTGCGACGGCTTGAAGCCCAGCACTCCCCGCAGCAGCAGCAGCAGCAGCAGCAGGACTTGACAGTAAGCAGTGGGGTCTTCGAGCTAGCAGAGCTGCTGAACGAGTCCTTAGCAGCAAAGGCGGAGCGACAGCAGCAGCAGCAGCAGCAGCAGCAGCGGCTGAGTGCAGCAGCTCTCCGCTTCCACCCCGCGCTGCAGCGGCTGCGGGAGAAGATGCTGACGAGCAGCTGGACCTTCGCAGACTTGTGCACTCACCTGGGCTGCAGCGCGTCTGCTGCGCGCTCATTGACCTGCAGCAGCAGCAGCAGCAGCAGCAGCAGGAAGGGACTTTCTCTGTATAGGACTGCTTTCCGCCGCTCTGCTGCAGTCCGGGCGGCTCTGGTCAGCAGCACAGCAGCAGATGATTTATTTGACCGTCTGGCAGTGCCTGAAGAGGCTGAGCCCCGTGCTGCAGCAGCACGAGCCGCCAGCAGCAGCAGCAAGAAGCAGCAGCAGCTGCAGGAGCAGCAGGAGCGCTTTAGCCTCCCCCTGCTGCACGTAGAAGACCTTCTTGCTGCACTTGCTTCCCAGAAGCAATTCTGGGGCGTCTGCAGCAGCGCGGCCTGCCGAGTCATATTTTTGCTGCTACGGCAGCGCCTGGCTTCCATTCAGCAGCAGCAGCAGCAGCAGGAGCAGCAGCAAAGGCAGCAAGAAGGGGCCCCTCGCACGGAAGCAGAATTGCTGGCAGATCTACTCGTCGCCACTGAGCACGCATCCAGGAACCTTCCTCACTATCAGCAGCAGCAGGCAGCGGCAGAAGCAGCAGCAGCAGCAGCAGCAGCAACAGCAGCCGAAGGGCAGGCACTGGTGTCGCGCCTAGTGTTGCAGCAGACAGCAGCAGATATTGCAGAAGGGCTTCTAATTGCTGCTGACCTTGATGCCCTCGCCGACTGGTACGTGCTGTTGCTTCTGCTGGGGCAGCTTCTGCTGCTGCCTCTGCTGCTGCTGCTGCGGCAGTTTCTGCTGCTGCCTCTGCTGCTGCTGCTGCAGCGGGTGCGGTGGCTCCCGCTGCTGCTATCTACGAGTTGCTCTTTCACCCCCTTACTGCTTTGCCCGTGCCGCTGCTGCTGCTGCTTCTGCTGCTGCTTCTGCTGCTGCTTCTGCTGCTGCTGCTGCTGCTGATTGCAGGTGTGGAAAAGACCAGGGCCTTCCTGAAGGCGTTTGTGATGCTTCCATGGTTTTCCGGGCGATGGAAGATGCAGCAAGCCGCACCAGCAGCAAGCAGCAGCAGCTGCTGCAGTGTCTTGCATCTGAAGCACTTGCTGCAGCAGCAGCAGCACAGGTGAGCAGCGCCGCCGCCTCTGCCGCACCCGTACAGTAAACTGCTGCGGCATTTGCTGCAGGGATTGGAAACTGCAGCGCAAGCAGCAGCTGCTGCTGCAGCCACGGCAGAGGGTGCAGCAGCCAGCGGAACAGCAGCAGCAGCATTAGCAGCTTGCTGCGTCTCTTGCTGCTGCTGTGTCTGCTGCAGGGGCGGGGCTTCCAGCAGGGAGCCAGGGCCCTCACTGTGGGTGAAGTGGCAGCAGCACTTGAAGCGAGGGGGCACAGAGTCTTCTCTTCAGAATTTCTGCTGCTGCTGACATCTTTGCTGCCGCCGCAGCAGCAGGAGCAGCAGCGGCTGCTGTTTGACTTGCAGCAGGGCTTGCTGTACGTTGAGCCTCTGCAGGCTGCGCTGCAGGGCCAATTGTCTCCAGGTGAAACTGCTGCCAGTAGCAGCAGCAGCAGCAGCAACCAGGGCAGCAGCCTGGGTGCTGCTACAAAGCCGTGCGCTGAGCTGCTGCTGCAGCTGCTGCTGCTGCGCATGCGTGCTGCTGCTGCGCTGCATTCCCTTGATGCTGTGCAGCTTTTTGCTGCAGTTTGCAGCAGCAACACAGACAGCCCCACAGCTGCAGATTGGCATGCAGCCCTTCGGGCCTCACTGGTAGAGAGTGGTGGGAGCTCCTGCTGCTGCTTCTGCTGCAGCAAGAGCTGCAGCAACAACAACAAAGATTGCCACTGCGTGGAGTCTACAGTTGCTCGTTTGCTGCTGCTGGTTCAGACTCCTCAGGACCTGGGGGAACTGTTGCTGCTGCAGCTGCCGCTGCTGCAGCAGCAGCTGCCAGCGCTCTTCCTGGGCCCCGGTTCGGAGCAGCAGCATCAGCTGCTGCAGCAGCTACAGCAGCTCAGTCAGCAGCAGCAGCTGCAGAAGATGCAGCAGCTGCAGCAGCAGACATGGGGTCGGGTGACTGCTAGGGAGTTCAAGGAGTTCTTTTCCCGCGGGGGCATCGGCGCAGCAGCAGAACTCTGGCTGTTGCTGCTGCAACAGCAGCAGCAGCAACGGGAAGAAGAAAGGGCGGATGAACAAGAAGTAAGCATCTCGCTGCAGATGTCACATATTGCTAAAGCAGAAGCTGCGGATGGTTGCACTGCTGCTGCTGGTGCTGCTGCTGCTGCTGCTGCTGGCCCTCCTGCGAGGTTGTGTCACGCTGCTGTTGCTGCTGCTGCTGCAGATATCGCTCGCTGCATGCGTGGAGCTGCTTGCCCTCTTTTTGGACGAAACACAGCTGTGTGGGGACAGTCAGCAGCAGCAGCTGCACAGCAAGTTGCTGCTGCATGCGAAGCCCCCCGGTGAGGTTGCTGCAGCGCGCAAAGCAGCCGTTGCTGCAGCGCAGCAGCAGAAGGTGCAGCAGCTGCTGCAGCCCCTCTCTCCAGAGCCTCTTCTGCAGCATGAGGCGGAGCAGGTCCTACGGCATGCTGCAGGCAACGCTTACTCTCGCGCTCGAGCAGCAGCAGCAGCAGCAGCAGCAGCAAGTAGGGGAGGCGTTCCAGCGGCAGAGGAAGCAGCAGCAGCAGCAGCAGCGGACAGGGGCGCGCGGGGTCTTTATAATGCCCTATGCTCGTCCTTCCTGCAGCACAACTTGCTGCTGCAGATTGGCACCCCACGGCTGCGTCCTAAGGCAGCAGCAGCAGCTGCTGCAGCAGCAAGTGCAGTAAGCCGTGCTGCAATCATGCGCTGCAGCTTCTTCGGCTTCGAAGAGCAGCTTCAAATAGATTTTTCCACAGCAGCAGCAGCAGCAGCACCAAGAGCAGGCTCAAGAGCAGCAACTGAAGCAGCAGCAGCAGGATCAGCAGCAGCAGAGCCGCTGCTGCTGTTGAGTTCATCGATCCCATCGGAGCTTCCAGCACAAAGAAAAAGCAGCAGCAGCAGCAGCAGCAGCAGCGGCTACAGTGGCTGCCCGAGCGTCTCTGGAAAAGTTGCTGCTGCTGCACTGCAGACTCTTCTTGATCCTTCTGAGCCTCTTCTGCTGCTGCAAGTGCAGCAACAGCAGCAGCAGCAACAGCAGCAGCAGCACGAAGTAGACAACTGGGTCGGCTGCCTTGCACTGCGAGATTTGTTGATGGCTCTTGAAGAAGCTGAGCCTCTTTCTGTCTTCTGGGGTTGCTGCTGCAGACGCGTGCTGCTGCTGCAGCATCACGCAGCAGAAGCAGCAGCAGCGAGAACGCTGTCGCCACACTACTCCAACAGCAGCAGCAGCAGCAGCCGCATGGAAGTAGAGGTCTGTGTCTGGTACTGGGCGAGAGCTGTGGGCCCAGAGACACCGCAGCCCCCCTTGCTGCATGCAGCAGCAGCAGCTTTCAGCAGCAGCACGGCTTTGCAGCACTTGCTGCTGCCTCTGCCGCTGCACCAGCCAAAGCAGCAGCAGGCCCATTCTACCCACCAGAAGCAGCAGCAGCAGCAGCAGTCAGCTCCCGTGCAGTTGGAACAGCAAACACAGCAGCAGCTAGATGCTCTGCAGCACCAGCAGCTGAGAAGTGGACAAGAGCAGCAGCAAGAGGATGAAGAAGTAGACGAAAAGCAGCTGTTGCTGCAGCAGCGCGAGGGACTGCAGCAGCAGCTTGCACTGATGCAGCAGCAGCACATGCTGCTGCTGCTGCAGCTGGAGAGAGATGCACAGCACCAGCAGCAACAAACACTACCACCGCAGAAGAGCACGCAGCACCACTGTGCCGATCAATACTGCGTCCAGCAGCAGCAGCAGCAGCAGCAGCAGATGCAGCTGCAGCAGCGAATGCAGCAGCAGCAGCTGCAGCAGCAGCAGCAGAGGCATCATGACCCCATAGAAGACTCTATAATGGCTTCTGCCGCCATGTCCGGTCCCCAGCAGCATTCAGCAGCAGCTGCAGTAGCAGCAGAGGCAGCAACAGGAGCAGCGGCAGAAATAACAGCAGAAGCAGCAGCAGCAGCAGCAGAATCTGAAAAAGAGGCATCTACGATCGGCGAGCTGCTGTTGACCTCGCATGGATGCACCGCGGGGCCAGTGGCTGCAGCAGAGCTGAAGCCAGCAGCAGCAGCAGCAGCAGCAGCAGCAGCAGCACTTAAAGATTCTGCAGCAGCAGCAGCAACAGCAGCAACACCTCGAACTTATGCTGCAGCAGGCCCTGGCTTTCCTGTCAGCAAATTCATGCGAATCCGAGTCGCAGATTTGGTCCTGGGGAAATGGGAGCTCAGCCAGCAGCAGCAGCAGCAGCAG